TTAATTGTACGTATTCTGTACATTTTTTTTTTCGCGTTTAAAATTCTCATTAAAGCTGATATTTCAATCAGAAACTGTGCAAATTGTTCGTAATCTTGTAATATGTCTTTCATAAGTCTAATATTTAAATTAAATGTAAAATAACCGAATTTACCCTGAATCTAATATTTAACTTGAAAGTTCAAACATTCAGATTCTCCATAAATTTAATATTTGAATTTTCCATAAATCCAATACTCGTGTTAAAAGTTAAATGTTAAAATTTAAAAAATTATTGTTAAAGTTAAAAATTAAAAATTCAAGCATTTAAATCTCTCATGAATTTAATCGTATTTAACAAGTACTAATTTCTTTACTAGCAATTGTCAATAATATTTTAAAAGAATTTTAATCAATATTATATAGTTATAAAACAGTGTTTACTTGTACCTGCTCCAATATTACTTACAAAATTTTTTCAATCGCGCGTATATTTATATATCGAGTACATAGAATATCCAAAGTGCTCGAGATTGAAACAAGTCTTTCATCCTTTTAATTACATCAACAAAGATAAGAATTTACGTGATCGTTCAATTGAACGATAATGAAACACGATGCTAATCACGTGGCACACGTTCGAAATAAGAAATTCTAGTCAAGTGACTTTTAGCTTTCTTCCGTACTTTCTAGCAGATTGCTGCAAACCCTACGCGAAATTCAACAGGTGGCACAGGTTGCTTCTCCTTCGTTCGCATTCCTTCGCGTAAAGGACTGTGCGAAAGATGAAATACACCTGTGATAATTCTTTCTGTGGAAAAGAAATTATTCCAGTTTTTCTAGTTGGAAACTAGATTGTTTTATAGCTGCGGAGTAAAAACTCATTGCATCACGAGATCGAACTGTATCGATCATTGCGATCTGATTTAATTCTTAACTGTAATTAATTTTTACAAATTCTTAACTATTGCATTATAAAAATTCACGTTTAATTTTGGAATTTTTGTCTAATTAAATTTTCTATTCGTAGAGAATGTAAAAGGCGAAATAAAATTAAATTTCGATAATAAATTATAATGACTTATCTATAATCAAAGATACACGTAATGACTAAATTGTGGATATTCGTGCATTTTTGAAAAATTTAAGATTGCAAAAAATAGAGGAAATATCCAAGGTAGAACGCCTGATATAATATTAAATAAACGTTTGTGTTTACAAAAATGTAAAAATGTATGAACATCCGTAGTCTAATGACTCGTTACAATATTTGGAAATTTTATGAAATTTGAATATTATTCAAATACTCTCTAATACTGATTTTGAATGATACTGATTTGAGCATTATTCAAATGGTCTCTTAGAAGAAAAATTGACCTCAGCTTTTAATCAACACGGTTAATTTCTTAATTTCATTACATAAGTATACCAAGTAGTTCATAAGTTGACTTATATCGCAATAAAATGACAAAAGCAATATAATATAATATACTTGAAAGTAAATTTGAAAATCAGTGTTCGTAACGTTTCAAGTTTCCTTTTTAATTTAAGAAGTTGAGCAACGTGAAACGACTCATTTAATTCGTTGTTTCTTACCTGGAAAGAAATGTGTGCATTATATAAATAAAATATATATTTCTACCTATAAAATACGTTTTCTACTATATTTTCTACGCTTTCTATTATAAAATACGCTTTATATTTATTTAGTATTTTAATATACTAGTTGTATAAAATTTGTCTTGATATGTCAAAAATAATTTACTAGATTCTCCCTAGACTCTAATTTAATTTATCTTTCATATAGATATAATATCTGGAAATAGTAAAAATCTAAACTCTAATCAATCAGTATAATAATAATTATCCGTCAATAGTTAACAATTATTTAATTATTATGAATTATTAATGAGCACGACAATAATATTAACGCGAGTTATTGCAAACCCAACGTCCAGTTTCATTTTGTAAAGTAATCAATCAGTTGCGAAAAAATATTTCGACTAATTCTGCATACGCTGGCATAACAAAGAGACGGAAGATAATACAATCAAGTTGATAGCAGAAAGGTATGCAAATATTTACTTATAACAAACGAACGAATGTACATTTGTGAGCGTTGAAGTTCCTGGTATTGGAGGAAAAACAAGTATATAACATACCAACAACAAGCATGTACACACAGATGCCAATAAAATCTCAGTCTGTTCTGACTTTTCATGAACGCACGAATCTAATAACGGTTATGTGACTTGGTTACTCGTTCTCTAACTCGTTTCAATTGAGCCATTCGCAGAACAAAATGATTAACTCCACTTTTGGAATTCTTTAGAATTTCAGTGTGGAATTTCGAAACACTTCAGTTCAACTGCATATTTCTTTATGATCTTTTTAACAATCGGATTCTTCACGATTTTCCTTGGAAAATCACGGTTGTGAAATTAAACGAAGATATAGATCATTCAGTTTATTAATCTTTTGTATGAGCTTACTCTCACTAATTATTATTATCATTATTTATATTTTTATTAAACTACTTATACTGAATTTTCATTAAATCATCGTTAAATTATTTATATTGAAAATAAAAATACTCGAAGACGTAGATCATTCTGTTTATTAATGTTTACGTAATTTTTTACGTATATCTTTTATCTAGAAAGTCGATATCAATGCAATTTAACACACACGCCTTTCCATATCAATCACTGGGCGTCGAACGCAGGAATTTCTTCTTGGAAACTGAACGTAACACATCGAAATTACGCCACAGAAATGATATCTTCCCAATTTAATTTAATTAAATCGTTATAAATTTAATTATAAAAAAAAATCTATATGATTAATCAGCACACGTGTTCGTGCAATCAGAGCGTGAAAGGAAAATAAAGAAAAAAATTTGAAGCGATAAAGAATTATCAACGACGAAGGCGTGCATCGATGATACTTCTTTCTCTTTCTCCAGTACGATTACGAATGAATAATATTATATTTCAAATGCGTTGATAATTTATGATTACAGGAAATAAATGTTTCTCTGTAATTCTGCTAGATGAAAAATTTAAATTTATAACATTTATAATTCAATCGACGATGGAATACTCCTTTTTACAACGGTCCAACATTCTTTTTTTAATTATTATATTTTAACTTTGACTATTAACATCAAACGACGAAAATTTAAGAAATCCTAACTAATCCGAGCCTAATGTACAAGGTTCGATAAAATAGTGAGAAAAACAGTGAAAATCGTACAGCAAGTTTTAAGGGATCGTTGTGAAGACAAGATTTCAATCTTCAAGATCACGATAAACTTTTCACTCGCGAAAAAAATTTTTCAAGGACGTTTTTAAGAACGTTTGAATTTTTACAAATAATGAATTTTGCAAATAAAAGTGTCTTTACTTTATATTAACAATTAATGAATTATATTATAAATTAATTTATAATTATTAATATTATAAATAAATTATATTATGAATAAATTATATTAATAAATTAATAAATTATATTATTTACTTTATAATAATCTTTACTTTATATTAGCTTTTCCCCCTCTCACCTTACACTTTAAATTGCCGATAATTTTTCTATTATTAGTTATAAGTAAATTTATTAGTTCAATTATGCTCGTCATTGTATAGGTGATGGCGTGCATGCGATAACGATGCTTTCGAACATGAGATTTCCGTGTGGAAGTTGTTTGGTTGGGTTTCAATAGATAGTGCAGACCCTTCTATTTCCTGCGGTCGACGAATGTCATCAGGGTGGCGTACGTGCCCGAAAAGACGTCATCCATAAGTTCTTACGAAGAACGGAAGGCACGCGGTGACGTCAATCGTGTTGAACCATTAAATCTTTCATCCTCCCATCCCATATCCAAATGCGTATCTATCGCGTGAATTTCAAATATGCCAGCAACGCTTCCCCCTATTTTTTTTTTTTTCTCTCTTTTTTATGTGTTGCAACAATCGAGTCTCGTAACACTGCCGTGCTCGTTCATTGACCGGAAATTTATGTAACTCGAGTAATTATCACGAAGCAGGTACGCGAATTGGCATGGAATTTTCCAAGGAATTCCTCAGGCGGAAGACTTCTTAATTTTGCAACTTCCTACAGTGCGGATGCGACGTTCTATTTGTTTTGCAGTTATAAACGAGCTAAATAACCGAAGTGATCAAAAAATGACTGATTAGGCATTTTGTGGAATTTTTTTTGAGGAACTTGATAGAATTTAAAAATTAATTTTACAAGAGTTGACCAGAAATGTCCATCTTCTTCGAATCAAATTTCATATCCACTTCAAATTAGAATAAAAGATATATTACATTGATTTCGAATTAAATTCTTGTTGTTTTATGTCGATGAAGATAAGAATAAACAGAAGTTTTTGCGTCATAACCTGAGCTGTAAAAATTAAAGGTCACAGTGTGAAAAGGTTTCTTAACTTTTATTTCGTTAATGTATTTGAAAATAAATATCATCGGCTGGAGAATATTCGAACGTATATTTAAACCTATATTTCGTGTTGCAGAAGTGTCGTGGTCAACGACAGAAGAGCCCTTTACTCCTGAAGAAGAAGACGCGATAGTAACATTAGTGGTAGTCGTGATCGGTATCATTGCAGCCATAGTAATATTGTTCTCAATGGGAATTTTCATCGATTGCAAACATCAGTACGTAAAGAATAACGTTTCTTTTTTCACAAATATTTTTAAACTAACGTATGTCAAATTTTAATATTTTAAAGTATTTTAGAAAATGAATTAACTTTTATAAAAAGTTTCATAAAATAAGACTGCTTGTGCTAATATTTGTTTTATAATGGACAAATTATAAAAAAATTTT